GCATTTTTATAACTTTTTTTTCTCTGTTAGTTATCCATTGTTAAGATCAAAAACGCTTAAGTCGTGTTTAAGAAAACATGCAAACTTAACAATTTTTAATTGCGACTCAACCCAATTTTTTTAAAGGATGTTTAGTTTTATTTTTCAATTTGAAAAGTTTAAAATATATAAAATCCATCAAAAAATTTTAAACCAGTGTAGTGATTCAATCCATTGTCTTTAGGATTACGATAAAAAATCAATCGCAAACACGAAAGAATTAATCCTTATATATATATATGAAGATCCGTTGAAATTTTAAATAATAAATTCACAACATGAATTTTTGAAACTCATCCGTTAGAAATTTCTGAAAAATATTCTAATGACCTTTTCCAACAACAAACAATATCAAAAACTCGTCACAACTTTTCGACAATAGTTTTTGACGATTTTCTAACACATATTTTCAACATATGTCTCTAACCTATTTTTGACAGATTATATCGTCAAAATATTCAACAATTTATTGCGTCTGACAAATGATTTTCGAACAAAATATGTTTGGCGGAAACAACAATATCCAAATGATTTGGCCGTCCAAAATAACCATATTCTTATAATAAAATGGTTGTTAGAAAATACTTAAACCTAATTAAGATTATGATAATCAAGAACTAATCAAATAATTAACGTGTTTCTCTAAAGATCAAAGTTGTCAGGTGATGTATTGAGATTATTGTCTTTATTATATTTAGACAAAATTCTCTTCATTTTTATTTATAGGATTAAATCATTAACTCAATAATTTTTTTATCAAATCTGTATCCTCACACGTCCAATCAATCTGGAAGTGTAAAATTCAACGCTCTATTTAATAGTCACGAATAATCTGTCTCCGCTAGGCCCTAGTCTTTGGGCACATAAATTGTGGAAAATGAAACCAGTAGTAAATTAGTAAATCTCTAGAGAAACTTTGTCTTGAATCAATAATTAAATGATTCTAATATACATATTTTACAAGTTAGAGTAAATAAAGTGAAAGATATCTTTTTTTTTTTTTTTTGTCACAACTGAAAGATATCATACAGTTAAAACTTTAATACCTCTTTACCTTAAGTAGTTTAATAAACATGTTTATTTATGTTAGGTTTACATACGTAGACTAGACTATGTAACTAAAGCAACATTAAGAAATATATGGAAAGTGTCCTAACGACACATACCCCAATAAAACCATATACATACATGGGAACATTCGAAATCAATCTCCATTGATTTTTCTTCTTCTTTGTACAGTGTTAATGAATCTTTAGCTTAATCACTAGTCTTGTTCGATTATTAGTCTTCCCACTGTAACAAGAAAAGCAAGCACCTCCAGATGATATAAGCACGCGTTCTCTGCTCCTTACACCAATCCCACCACCGGAGCTTCGATATCCGACCCGACCGGTCTCGTTTCTCCGACATCTTCATTAACCACCTCTATGTGTTGCTCTTTTGGTTTTATTGTTAAGACCTCTATGTGGTGTTATGAGTAGTTTTGGAGTAGCGAGAAGTGAAGAAGAGTTGTAGAATATATAGAGAGGCTAAAGTAGTAATTAAGGAGAAG